GGTTGGCCTCGATCTCGCAGAGATCCACCTGCCTCTCCCTCTCAAATGTTGGGATTAAAGGTATGCATCACCACACCCAGCAAAATATTTTTTAATTAATAATTTGTTGTCTTCAGAAGAAACCATGTACGGGGTTTTAATTCAGTCCTCCCCTTTTACAGGTAAAGAAACCGAGTCTTGAAGGTACCCTGGCACCACTGTACTATGAGAAACTTTATAGTGAGGATTAGCTGAGTGGATTGAACTGCTCTCAAAGTTCTGTGGACTGTGAACAGCAGAACCGAATTCAGGCTGGCAAAGCCCTGGCTTTGGCTGTTCCTGCTTTGGTGTGATTAACCCTGGAATGGAAATGCTGGGAAGTCACCCAGAAAGCACAGACATAACATTCAAATATGCATTTACTGAGGGAAGCCAACATGTCATTAGCACTAAGCATCTAATGCCGTGACAGCATTGCCTGAGAGTTTCAGTTAAGTTAGGCATTCGGTTAACTGTATACCTGTTCTCTAGTGTAGTAGGCATTCAGAGAGGGGTACATGGTGTATGTAACACATGGTTAGGTAAATCATGACTGCCACCAAAGGAGAAACAACCAGTGAGATCCAAGAAAGACACAACTCTGCAGGCCAGACCTGGATCACATAGGCAACTCTCTTACCTATCTTCATCCTTAGAATGTCACAGGGAACCCCTCAAATTGCTTGACACAGAAAGCCAGAGCATCTATGCAGTAGCACTGCCTCGTAGCAAAGACTCCTAGGAACTATTTAGAGACAGATCCCCAACCAACCCTCACCCTAGACTGATTCAGTTAGTCTCAGAATGGGGTCTAGAAATCAGCATTTTTTTAAAGTTCCAAAAAGTATTTAAATATGTAGCCATTTGAAAGCCAGACAGCCTGTCACATGTTATATTAGATATTTTACAGAGGCTTAAGAGCAGTGTTGATGTTAATTCTTAACAGTGCCAGCCCCTAGGAGTGTCCTGGAGTCAAACACCATGAGCATCTTGACCCAGACCAAGTCTGTCTTCTATCTGGAGCTCCATTCCTCTCCCCAACTCCTTTGCAGCAGGGGAGGAGCCATTGAACGTGTGGCTGTCATCTGGCAGTAGTTACTGCTGCACTCGGAACTTGGAAAGACATCTGTTTATTTGGCATGCTCCACACAGGCTTGTCAGACTCTAGGGGGCTGCGGATTTGCAGAACTTACAAGGCAGGCAACATAAAAATATATATAATTCATAGAAGGAAATATTGTAGAGGCTCTTTCACTTTTATAAATTGGCCATAAAATAGAAACCACAGACATAACATTCATATGCACATACTTGCAAAAAAATAAAGAACCATTTGGGGTGGGGATGATGTAGGCTTTTGGTGGTGACTTCTTTACAGGGCACTGAAAGAAAGAGTATGCATTCAGAATTTTTTTTAATATTTATTTTTTTTTTTACTTTTTGTGTATGAGTGTATTGCCTGCACACAGGTAAGTGCACCCATATCACGCAATGCCCATGGAAGTCAGAAGAAAGCATTGGATCCTCTGGAAGTGAAGTTAAGAATGGTTGTTAGCTGTCATGTGGGTGCTGGGAACTGAATCCGGATCCTCTGCAAGAGCAGCCGGTGCTTTTAACCACTGAGCTGTCTCTCCAGCCCCTGATTTCAGAATTTTTGTACAAATATTAATAGAATCCTTCAAGTGAAGGATGTAGCCCCCCGCACTTGATAATTTGCAAAGACCTGTTGATAAAAATTTCTAGGTTTCTAGGTTGGTATCTCTTCACAGTCAATAAGCGTGTCTTCATAGACATTCCAAGAACATTTAGGATTTCATATATATATTCTCTGTAAGTTACTGTGTCTTGTTTTTCTCCTTTCTTAGTGGAAGCCTTTTATAATACTTGAGGCAGCCATGCACTGTGACTGCCCAGGGTAGCTTAGGAGAAGCAAAGTCAAAGCTCATCCTGCTGTCTTCTCCCACTAGTAGTGCTGACACTGAGCTTACCTTAGTTCCTGATGGAAGGTGGAAGGAGAGGCTAATGAGCTCCTGCCAGTTCCACTTGGGCATCCAGAGATGGGGGTGATATGTGAATAATGGCTGCTCACAGTGGCTGTGATAGTCTGCTATTGAAAGTCAGCGTTAAGACCTAAGAAAGGAAGTGGTGGTCCTGTCACAGAAGTCAAACAAAAAGTCCTTTTTGCCTTTTAATTTGGTTGAGTGATGAAGAGAGTGTGGGCCTGGAGCCAAAGGAACTTGGCTTCCGTTGTTTCATGCTACTTTTCAGCCTTGTGACCTTAAAAATGGCAAAAGATGTCTCTGGGCCTCTGTCCTAGTTTGTTTCTTCATTGCTGTGATAAAACACTCTGACCACTACCAACTTGGGGAGGAAAGGGTTTATTCAGCTTACATCTCCCAGGCCGCAGTTCATCAGGGAGCCTAAGGTAAGAACTCAGGGCAGGAACCTGGAAGCAGGAGCTGGAGCACAGGCCATGGAGGAATGCTGCTTACTGGCTTGCTCCCCCTGGTCCCTGCTCAGCCTGCTTTCTTATGCAACACAGGCCTACCATCCCAGGGGTGGCACCACCCACAGTGGGCTGGGCCCTCCCACATCACTCATCAAGAAGATGCCCCTCAGACATGGCCACAGGCCAGTCCAATAGAGGCAATTCCCCAGTTGAGGCTCCCTCAACCCAGGTGTGTCAAGTTGACACTAAAGCTATCCAGCACAGCCTCAGTTTACCCATTTAAATATTATCACACTATCTATTTCACAGGGATTTTAAGAGTGTGACATGAAATAGAATGGGCCAAATCCAGCAGACTGATCAACAGCGGGTGATAGTTTCTTCAAGTAATCGGTCTCAGGGACTTTGAAAGCAGACCTTCTGAAGAAAATCAGTATTTCTCCCGAGAGCAGGGCAGGGATACATCAACTTCTTACTGTTAACTTTCACAAAGTATCCAACATCAATATGTTGATTTAATCTTCAGTGTATTTCCTAGATTATTTGGGAAAGTGATTTAAATTTAAGAGAGGTTTGTGTGTGATGCTATATTGTAATGTGTCTTTAAAAGTCACAATCTGATTTGAGAAGCATTATGGGACACCCCAATCCCCAACTCTGTGTTCACATCATGTGGCTGTATTCTGGTATTTAGGGAAATGGTAGAAATAACATCACAGCATGGATGTTACATTTTCCTTTTGTTATAAGAACTCTTCCTGGGGAGATGAACAAAGTTATCCTAGTGAAAACTGATTGGGAGGTAAGCACAGGATCAATATAGATTAATAGAAAAGACTTGAGATTCCAGAAAGAAAATTGTATGTTTATGATTGTTGATAAAACTGACAAAGAAAGAAGAAAAGATCCTTCCATGAAATGTTGCTGGAAACATTGGATGTCCACAAGCAAAACAGTAAAGTTATGCTGTCATCTCATCCCATACAAAGAATAAGCTCAAAGTGGATCAAAGACCTAAATCGTTAGAACTAAAAGTATAAAACTCTTAGAAGAAAATATAGGCTTGTAACTTTAGATTGGGGATTATCTTAAATATGTCACAAAAGCCTAACCAACCATAATAAAATTGAGTCTGCCAATTTTTAAAAATGTATATACTTCCAAAGATGCTATCATGAAAGTGAAAAAACAACCCAGAGAACAGGAGAAAACATTTGCAAACCATTTCTCTACAATCAAGAATATCTATGAACACAGCACTCTTAAAATGTATCAGTGAAAAGACAACTCAATTTGACAATTGGTGAAAGCTTAAATATACATTTCCTCAAAGAAAATTGAAAGTCACACACACACACACACACACACACACACACACACACGCATGCACACAAGATGTTCAACTTTACTAGTCATTGGGGAAATACAAATCAAAACCACATTGAGATTCTACTTCACACCCACTGGGATATTTATAATAAAAAATAAAAACAAAAAAACAGTCAGTAACAAGGGTTGGCAAGGATGTGGAGAAATTGGAACTCTTACATTGCTAATGGGATTATAAAGTGGTGCAGTTCTATTGAAAGTAGTTTGGCAGTTCCACAAAATAATTAAACATTGGGTTACCATAGATCCAACATCTCCACTTCTAGATACGTATAAAAGAGAACTGAAAACATATGTCCTCACAAAAACTTGTACACAAATGTCCATTGCAGTATTACTCACAGTAACCTCAAAGTGGAAATGGTCCATGTGTCGCTCACCTGATAAATACGTAAACAAAGCACAGTACAGCCATACAAGGAACTAGTATTCAGCCATGCAAGAGAAGGAAGTATTGAGTCAATTTGCAACAGGCTAAAAGTAGAAACATTCTACTAAGTAAAAATCAGACACAAAAGACACATGTTTTATTTCATTTACATGATCTCTAAGCAAAAACATGAGACATTAAGTAGATAAATGGTTCCAGGAACTTGAGACTGGAGAGTGATTGCTAACAGGTATAAGGGTTTCTTTGGGGGGGGGGGGGTAGTGAAGACAATTCTGGAATCAGATGGTGATGATGCTGTTATAACTTAGTGAATATTAAAAAAAGATTCCCATAAGGTTGAATTTTATGGGATATGAGTTTTACATCAGTTTTAATATTACTATATTTTCCTTGATCGCTCTACAAATTAAGTCATTCTAACAGAATATGACTTTTGAAAAAAAAAAAGACATTTTCATTAAAGCGCATACTTACATTCTGTTCTTTTGAAGAAACAAAGGAAATTTCATAATCAATCCTTATAGATTTCATGAAATCTGACCAGTATCAGGTATGAATATCAAATGCAGAGCAAGTCTCTCAAGAAATCCTGTGAAGAAGTACACCTGTGCACACTAGGACATTGCTTCCGGTGCCTCGTTAATTTGATATAGACCCTTCTTGTTTGCATGTCTCCAACATAATTGTTCTCAAATTGAGGGGAGACTTGGGTTTTAATCCGAATGTTTCATGTGTATCCTTTTGTTCTTACAGGTCCTCCCTTTCCCCAGCCAGGTGGTGTACAACAGAGTCGGCAAGTGCGGAAGTCGCACTGTGGTCTTGCTTCTGAGAATCTTGTCAGAGAAGCATGGATTCAATTTGGTCACATCGGACATTCACAACAAAACCAGGCTGACTAAAAATGAACAAGTAAGTTGATTTTTCCATTGTTAAATTGTGTAATTAGAGGGTGCCTTACAGGATATCCTTCACACCAGAGTTTCAATTTCATGCTATATTTTTGTCTGAGTGTAAAAGTAAATTTAAATTTGTGCAGGAAATCCAAAACCCAGGAAGCCTCTGTAATTGGATTCTTCTGTTAGGTCTGACGGACTGTGCACGTTGGTCATTGTCTATTTTGCTAAAATAGGTTAGCAGCACACAATTTCAAAATAGTTAAACCACTGAACTATAAACAGTGCTGGGATCTTCACAACCAAATGAGAACTTTTTCTTTCAGCGTTTCTTCTTTTGCATTTTCTCATCAATATCCTGTCTTTCTAGTAAAGAGAAAAACTTTGTGCCAGGAATCGGGCTGATTGAGTCAAAATAAGCTTTGTGTCGTGTAAGCTCAGAGATCTTGGGTCTCTAAAGCAACATTTAGTATACTCAGCATTAGCAAAAGAATTCCCCTACTTCTCAGGGTCCTTTTTGCTCTGGTATAGCCACACATACAGGTATGGATGTGCTGGTGGTGGGGCCACAGCACTGTCTGCCAGCAAGCCCTGACTTGCTCTATGAAGAGACAAGGGCAACTGTCTCCATGGAGCTGCTTTGCCAACATAGAAAAGTTGGGCACCATGTTCTCAATGGTCTTTCTTCAGGGTAGTTTGTCAGCTTGTGTGTTAGTTTAGTTTCTGTTGTTGTGATGGCAATTTAAAGGAGGAAGGTTTCGCTCTGCTGTATCCAGAGGGGCTACAGTTCGTCATGGCAGGGAAGGCGTGGAGACAGAAACATGAGGCTGGCCTTCACATCGATTGCATCGGCAGTTGGGAAGCAGAGAGTGAAAACAGGAAGTGGAACCAGGTTATAGAACCTCAAAGCCCACCCCCAGTGATGTGCTTCTTCCAACAGGGCTCCATCTCTTGAAGATTACATAACCTTTCCTAACAGCTCCACCATCTGGAGACCAAGTGTTCAAACACGTAAGACTATGGGGAGCACATTTCTCATTCAAACCACAGCAACCAGGTCTTTAAAAAAGCTGCTTCTGTCACCTGAGAAACTTATGTTATCCAGTGAGTGGTACTTCCTGTCAAGTTGAGATCATAATTATGGAAGTCTCGCCCCATGTCCGTTCTTCAGACATCGCCCACCCCCGTTTAAGGCATGCAAAACCTTACAGGTGGAGGGATGCCACTCCTTGTTTGCTGGTCTCATAAAGGTATTGCCCCTTATAGGAGAATCTCTGTAGGAAGAGTGATATTTGGGCTGAGAAGACAGCTCAGTTCAGATACCCAGTGCTCACATAAAAAAACTGAGTGTGATGGTACATTGTAATCACAGCACTGGGTGAATAGAGACAGGAGGATCCCTCAAGCTAGCTGGCCAGCCAGTGTCCCCAAATCTGGGAACTCCAGGTTTACCAATGCCTCAAAAAATAAGGTATGTTTGGGACTGGAAAGATGGCTCAGTAATTAAGAGACCCAGATTCAAATCCCAGCATCCACATGGCAACTAACAACCATCCATAACTCCAGTTCCAGGAAATCCAATGCCCTCTTCGACCTCCGAGGGCATTGCATGACACAGGTGCACTTGCATACATGCACAAAATACATGCATGCACGTAAAATAAAAATAAAGCTAAATAAATAAATAAGGTGGAGATAAGGAGGTAGCTCAGTGGGTTAAAGTGCTTGCTTTTATGCAAGGCCCCAAGTTTGAATCCCCAGAACCCATGTCAAAACTGGTATATAGCACAAGTGTCTGTGATACCAGCACTCTAACAGCAAGATGGGAGACAAAGACAGATTTCTTGGAAGCTCGATGGCCAGCAAATCTGGCATATGCAGCAAAAATATCAGAGACCCTGTCCCCAAATAAGGTGGAGGGTGAAAACTGACCCCCAAAGTTGTCCTCTGATTTCCAGATGCATGCCATGGCACACACACCTGCATTCATCCACATGTATACACATACATACTCGTATGCGTGTGTGTGCGCGCGCACAAACACACACACACACACACAGAATAATTTATTTAAAGAAAACACTTGAAGAGTGACTGAGTAAGCTACCACTGTCGACCTCTGGCCTCCACACGCACATGCATATATGTGTCCACGCATATGAGCATGTTCAGTAGGGGTAGATTTTCTATGACATCCTTACTTAATCGAAGAGCTAATATACTGAGGCTGGTTATGTTCTTTTTACTACTTCAAAGAATATAACTATAAATTGCCTATGTTCTTATAATTTATTATGATTATTAAATATGGTTTTCTTTTGGGTCTAAGTCTTGGGGCCCACTTATCGGATTACATTTAAATGTTTGTATGTGTGGATACCTCTCAGATGCCTTATAAGACTCAGTTTCTAGATTTTAGTCCCCGTGGTTGAAAGAATGCAAATAGCCCAGGAACACAAAGAGAACCAAAGGATTACACACTGGGATGCCCAGGATGTCCTGGCTGAGAGAACACAAAAGTCTAATACTTCATTTACTGCGGGGTTTTTGAATAGAAAAAGATACTTTGTTTCCTATTTTAAATATCAGAAATTAAAATACAACTTTAATCATGAGTGAAACAATTTAAACAAAAAGTTAACAGTAATATACTAGTGGTAGTTGGTTTTTAGGGTTAGAAAGGGTTAAAGATAGCATCATCCTTTAAAATACAGGTTAACTCTCATCTTTTTGGAATGGTTGGCTTGTCTGGGAGCCAGGGAACAGGCGGGACCATCTTTTTAGGTTCTTTTTAGCACTGTGATTCTGTGATACATTTATACAACATCTAGTATAGTATGTGTGGTATATAGTTGAATCATTTCTGATTCCTGTGATCAATGTGACCTGGACTATATATGAAAATCAAGACAAGTTTTTGAAAAACTAAAGCCAAAATAAGTATTTGAAAAGAAAAATAAATATACAGTTTTGATGTAAAAACAAAGATGAGGACATTGCCCGTTGCTTCTCTGGAGCTGCTTCTGGCCCCTGCACACAAGGAGAACAGCCAGGAAACAGAAGGAGAAATTAAACCTGAAGTAACTCAATAATGTTCAGAGAAAATTGTCCCTGTCTATGTAGTCTTTTTTGACTGAAGTTTCAAAGTACATAAAAAAACAGAGAAATATTGTTTTAACTTAATATAGTCAGGAAATAATTTGCAGCATTAATAGCTTCTCCTCATGGTAATTTATTAAAGGAATAAGGGCGATGTGATTTAGGAGACTAGTTAAAGTTTTATAGTCAGTGGTTCTTACCCTCAAGCAGTAGACTCTGAAAATTCGTTCCCATAGAAACATTGTTCTCTCAAAAATAAAAATAGCAACATTCTGCTGCAGGTACAGTAGGAGTTAAGCAGGTTCTGGTTCTCTTGAACAGAACTCTATTTACCATGAAGAACATTTCTTTTAGGAGAAAATGTGTTCCATGTTCTAAACTACTGACTTACAAATGAACTTGGGAATAGTACCCATTTATAAAACCGGAATTGTCTACTGTTTCATTCATCCACGAAGCGTTTCTCTGGACCAGAATCAAATTCACACGTCCATTTCTCCCTAAGTGGTAGTTGTCAGCTCACACACATGCACATATACATATACACACTCACTGTTAAATGTTAAAAATTTATAGGCTAAGGGATTATTAAGAAGGAAAGGGAGCATAAAGACACCAAATGTTAGGATGCCTATAAAAATCCCATCGTATCCGCTTTCCTAGAAACAGATATACCTTTGAAGTTTGTACTTTGAATAACTCCTCCACAGAAGAGCTTGCAACTGCTGCTGGCCAGCTGTTGGAGTGTCACACAGTGTGTAACACAGCCTATATTGACATCATTTAATTTATACAGATCTCAGTTGCAAAATGGACATTTTGAAAGAAAGGGAACTGTTTCCCCCTTAAAAGATATGGAGTGTTGCCGAAAATACTCATAAGCATATTTGCTAATGGTCTTCCACTGTCTTTCAGAACTTTGCTCTAAGCACATTGAAGGTCAGAATGCCACAGGCATCTCACAGGGAAAGGAATCCAGTTATTCTTGTTGGAAAGAACAAAAATCATAGGCTTATGAGCCCCAAATATTTGCAAAACCAAATAACTTGACTTCATATTTCTATTGAAGTTCCTGAGGATTTATAATACAAATTGGAAGCAATGCCCACTGTGTGCGAATTGTTTCACTTGATTATTTCATTTAACAGTTTGGGACCGAAAATACTCTGTGCGTGTCATTCCTGCTTTATGGGTAAGAAAACTAAGACAACTCAAGTCGGTCTCCAAAAATAATATAACGTAGTGAGTGACAGGGCATGGCAGCTGAACCTGGACTTGTGTGCTCCCAAATCCCACAGCCCTGAATAATGTGGCGGCTGTCTGCTCTGACTGTACAGTAGACTCTCCAGCAGAGTTTTTGGAAACCTAGAGTTTCAGTGCCCTTCTGCTGGGGATTCTGGGATGGAGTCCAGAAAACTCTTTAAAAAAAAAAAAAATGAAGTGGCACAGGCTGTTCTGGGATGCAGCAGTGAGGCCGAGCCAGCCCCATCAACGTGCTCATGCCAGCATTCCCAATGTGTGTTCCTATGAATCTTAGTTCCCTCGGTCAGTGAAGAAAGGAAAGGCCATGGCTCAACAAGTTTGGGGACTGTTGTGTGTCTTGTGTCTATCTAGAAGAATCTAAGGGATCATTCACATTTTAAAGACAATTTATATATATATATATATATGTGTGTGTGTGTGTGTGTGTGTGTGTGTGTATACTATATGGTGCGTATGTATGTGAGTATGTATGTGAGCTCACTTGTGGAGGTTGGGGGTGCCCATGCATATGTATGCACATGTGTTTGTAGAGGCCAGAGTTTGACATCAGTTGTCTTCCTTGATGGCTTTCTACTTCATTTACTGAGGATAGGTCTCTCACTAAACCCAGAGTTTACCAATTTGGTTGGTCTAGCCAGCCAGCTTGCCCTGGAG